AGTTATCAGCCCGCAGAACATGTGCACGTGCACAAACTGAAACAATGACGTCACATTTAACGTCATCAAACAGTTAACTGTAAAAGTGAAAGTAGGTTGTCAGCACGAATCGCTTTATTATGCTCCCCGAAAAATTTCGGGGGAACATATAGTCGTCGGGTTGTCCGTCCGTCCGTCCGTCAGTCCGTACGTACGTCCCAAATTCGTGTCCGGCCCATAACTTTGTTATTTGAAGTCGGATTTTAAAATTATTTCACAGAAATGATCACCATATTGAGAGGACTTTTCGCGCGCAACATTTGGGTCGCTACCTTGAAGGTCAAGGTCACAGCATGACCTTGCAGCAAAATCGTGTCCGGTCCATAACTTCATTATTTGAAGTCGGATTTTAAAAATATTTCACAGAAATGATCACCATATTGAGACGACGTGTCGCGCGCAACATTTGGGTCGCTACCTTGAAGGTCAAGGTCACAGCATGACCTTGCAGCAAAATCGTGTCCGGTCTATAACTTTGTTATTTGAAGTTGGATTTTAAAAATATTTCACAGAAATGATCACCATATTGAGACGACATGTCGCGCGCAACATTTGGGTCGCTACCTTGAAGGTCAAGGTTGAAGGTCAAGGTCACAGCATGACCTTGCAGCAAAATCGTGTCCGGTCCATAACTTTGTTATTTGAAGTCGGATTTAAAAAATATTCCACAGAAATGATCACCATATTGAGACGATGTGTCGCGTGCAACATGTGGGTAGCTTCCTTGAAGGTCAAGGTCACAGCATGACCTTGCAGCAAAATCGTGTCCGGCCCATAACTTCCCTATTTGAAGTTAGATTTAAAAAGTATTTCACAGAAATGATCATCATATTAAGATGACGTGTCATGCACAACATTTGGCTCGCTACCTTGAAGGTCAAGGTCACAGCATGACCTTGAAGCAAAATTGTGTCCGGCACATAACTTCATTATTTGAAGTCGGATTTTACAACTATTTCACAGAAATGATCACCACAATGAGACATTGTGTCGCGCGCAACATTTGGGTTGCTACCTTGAAGGTCAAGGTCACGGTATGACATTGCAGCAAAATCGTGTCCGGCCCATAACTTTGTTACTGGAATTCGGATTTAACAACTATTTCACAGAGATGATCACCATATTGAATCGACGTGTCGCATGCAACATTAAGGTCACTACGTTGAAGGTCAAGGTCACAGCATGACCTTGCAGCAAAATAATGTCAGGCGCATAACTTTGTTATTTGAAATCGGATATTAAAACTATTTCACAAAAATGATCACCATATTTAGACAATGTGTCGTGCACAATATTTGGGTTGTTTTTACACTTTGAACTTTGTCTGTGACATAACTCTGACACAACAAGAGGTATACCTTCCTGTGTCCAAAACATATTCGGGGAGCATCACCCGGTTCAACCGGCTCTTGTTTTTATTATGAGACCTTAAGCGTATTTAGTACAAACACATTTTTGTTACTATTGAAATTTGAAGAAATAATACGACAAATTCATTCCGACAAAAATGAAAATAAAACTTGCTTCTTGGTTCTACTGCTTTGAACACACAAACAGAAAACATCTCTGTACAGAACAGTAGAAGAGTAGACAAGAATTTCAACGAAAGAACTTCAAAGTCTATTTGCTTTTATTGTTTTTGTTATTTTTTTTTTAAATGCTACTATTAGATCTACCAAGTGTATTAAAGACATTAATACACGTCAGCGTAGGGCCGGAAGGTGATAATCGGACCTGAATGAATAATGGCCCTCGGGTCCATTATTCATTTTGCGGGCCGATTATTACCTTCCGGTCCTCTCCTGTCGTGTATTAACCTCTTATTAACATTTACAGTATGTATCACACTTTGCAATATGAGATAGTGGTATGCCCTAGCCTTATTTAGAACAAAACAGAACAGAACATACTCTTTATTTGGAAGGCACTGATTACAAAATATCAAATTCTGCAATTACATGTGTGCAAATTCGTAAACAAGATTATGAGCAGTGGGAATGGTCAATACATAATTGGGTTAAGAACAAACATACAAACAAATTAATTATACAGTAAATATTTCTTATGGGTATTGTTATGACTAGTTCTATACAAAAATAATTTTTCAATTCCTACTCTTTGTATGAATGTTTTCTTTATTATTATTTTGTTTTACCAATGTGATTCAATTGATCTGAAGTGGTCACTGGATGGACATATGAAATTTATAGTGAAAATGTAATTAAGATTTGTAGGTTTAGTGTTAAAGAAAACTGAAACTAAAGTGGAAGGAATAATAATAATAATAATAATAATAAAAAATTATAATAATTATAATTTATTCAATATAGAGATTAGGGTAAAGTAATTTATAATTTAAATTAAAGCAATCATTGTTAAAAAAACTGATGGAGATTTTTTTTTCTTTTTTCTGATATGATTAACCATCTCATAGTGAATTGCCTTTACTCCATGATTTTAATTAAACGTATACATGAATATTTTGTAAGCAAATTGAATTGTTATAATCAAAGGTGCTAGTGGTATTGATTTGACCTAAAATGTGTTTAACCTTGCTATTTATGCAATAAAATATCCATCTTTTTATAAAAATAAAAAAATAAAAACATTTTTTTACAGTTATATTGTTATAGACAAGATATGCAACATCCGAGTACGAAAAATATTGGTATGCCCGTTCTCAGTGTCAAAACTTTACATCGGGTCTTAATATTGTCGGATTTTCGCATGGAATCAATGCAATATATATTTTTCTATCAAAACTGACTATGAACAGATCCTTATTTACACGTAAATTACCGCAGTAAAGCCCGAAAGTAAGAAATCACCCAGGTCCGAAAGATGAGACCGTCATGACATGTACATTGTACCCTGGTATTCACGCTTGAAATACACCAACGTGAGACGTTGGATAATCCTTAATGATGAATGTCCCCCTTCTTTCTGTAATTTCTTAAACCTTGGCCTTCTGGGGCCGAGAGATTTTAGCCTTGGCCAATAGTACAGAGCCAGGCTAGCCTGTAGATCAACGAATAGATAAATACAGAATCCCTAAAGAAAGCCCAACACGGTAAAATTGAAAATGTTGCAGGCTCGGTTTGATTGAGCCTGTTCATGGACGGTACTGGAAAGTGCAAGTTACCGTCCACGCCCCCTAGCACCGGCTTAAGCAGAATTCAACATTTAAACATGAAATAGTAAAATTTTGAATTTAGAAACATCCGCAGATGTGTTCATACGGCGGTTATCATGGAACCTTCAATGTGACACTTCCGTGCCATTCCATGAAAAGCGGCGTATGGTCCCCAAGTAATAAAAAGTGTGTGTCCTAAACGAGAAAACAATGGGCGGAACTAAATAAAATGGAATTTGGAAAGGGGATCAGAGGTTATGAAGCCTGCGTATCACAGATAAGACGTCAAAAGACAAAATTAAAAAGCAGGCAACATATCCTAAGGGTGATTGTCTGACGAATTGTTTTTACCTCATTTAAAAAAATGATATTGAATTATTTTTTTAACATAAACATTTCCAAATTCGCAGCAGGACAAATCAAACACATAAATTCAGCAGGTTAAGAGTTTTTGTAATGAACAAAACATAATAGCAAATATTTAGCGTTTTTTAATGTCTTCTTTGTAAGATAACTAAAATTCCAAGAAGAAATAACACAGAAACTGTGACGTCGGTGGCTTTAATTTTACAAGACCTTATTGAAATTCACAGTCCTCATTGAAGGTTTATACTGCTACGAAACAATTAATAGTGTCTGAAAATCACAAATTCATCAAATTTATGAAATATAAAATTATTAAATAAAATTACTCAAGTTTATTTATAGAAGATTAATCCCATTGTGTACACCGGTCTTACTGACCTGTGTGAAACCACTCTAAGCACGATGGGAACAGACTCCTTTTAACATGGCGGCTTGAGTACGGAAGTGATTGAACAAAACGCAAATGCTACCAGTTCAAAAATTAAACTTTTTCCATACCCTGTTGGCAAAATAGCCATTACATCATTTTTACTCAAAACACGCATCAAACACTCCTTCTGACAATCCTTTAGTGGTTTTACAAACCCAATTTTGTTCAACATACGTGATAGTATTTCGGCCACCGAAAGTGAAAGTAATTTTGAATATTTGAATAAATAGTAACACATCAAACTATCAATTGCACTTGCAATATTAAACTCTGGAAAACAGTGATTCCCTGGAAACAATAAACGATTTTAATCACTTGATCGTCATCCCTACGCGAACTTTTTTTATGTCGGAGTAATTTTTTGCCCTCATTTGGGGTGAGTAATGCGTCGTACGACACAAGTCGATATTTGAGACCGGTGTGTATACAATGAGGTTAATCCTTTTTTAACTTTATCACTAGTACTTTTGCGTATAGGAGTTAGACGAAAGAGAGGAATATTATCAAGAAAATTCATCTAGTTTTTTAATTAATTTTTTTATTTATTCCTTTATTTATCCAATTAAAACCTTTCCCCGCTAGATATCTTAAATGAACTCGTCCTTCTTTCAATCTGGACAAAACAATTCACCACTTTTAGAGAAAATTTCAAAATATGTAATGATTGAATAGTGAACAAAGCCGACCATGATCAGATCATAAGAATGTGCTGGGTAGAATCTGATACCGCCAGCTTGCTTAAGATTGAATAATAAAAAATAGACTATTTAGGTTCTTAATTAATCATTTTCAGGTAAAATTCCGTTTCTTCTTCGCCAAAAAAATAAAGAAATTCTTCGTCATTTTCAAAGTCAGTCATCCTCAATGTGTATTTAATCAAATAATTTTAATACAAGACACTTTTTAAAATTTTGAAAACAAATTAATCGTGAAATCGTTTGTATAATGTTATAAAGACGTGCCTTCGTCGAGTTCTTTAAGCTATAATAATTTCATTAATTAGTAAACAAATTAATTAGCTCTATTACATACCACAATCTGTCTTCTATGGTGCCTAGATAGTTATATTTAGCATAATCCGTACACGTTTTCTACTTTGTTTTACATAATGTTTCAACATGATCAGCGTTATCAGATATCTTTTTACAAAAAACCATTCTTGAGCATGATAACGAGGTAAACAAATCGTAACATGCTTTAGGCCGAAACGTGAAAACAAATGTTTTAATATATTTGTCTCCATACCATTTTATTTCTAATGATACTTTTTGAGTAAGTTTATTGTTTTAGTAAGGTGAATTTAGATAAATGTTTTCAAGTGAACATCTAGTGTTATCTATCTTATTGGTGTGTCCAGAATGACCTGCATCCTTGAAAAATAAATCTATTAATTATGATAGGTGGATTCCAACGATTTTGCAATTAATGCATGAAAGGGCACATGAGATCTTCAATTAACGTCATACCATTATAGCTGTAAAGTCGCAATTTGACCTCTGCTGTGTTGATGCAACCCGGACCCCAAACCCTTCAAAAATCGAAAAGGAATCACATACAAAAAAGAAAGAAAAAGAAAAAAATACCCCACCCAAAAACGAAAGACAAAAATAGCCCAATGCAACCCGATGTACAGCTGTCTGTCGGGTTGTTAGCATTCTGTTCTTTTGCCGGCTTATCCGTTGGTTATAATATCGGGTGTTACTGTCATATCCTACTCTAATGCTTCAAAGTAAAATGAGCTGTCCAACTTACACTATTGTCGGCACCCATGTCCAGATTTGTGAAGAAAGTTTGTACAGTAAGATATACTTATGAAAACTTTAGGTATTAAGGGAATAATATCCATTATGTGTTCCATTATGTACAAGTAATTGTATCAACATATTGTAAATCGTTCAATAAAGTTTGAAACACATGTCGATTGAAATTGGGATGAAGAACAACACGTCGACAAATCGACAAACCAAGGACCACACCCAAATCAAAAGAAAGCAAGTACACAATATTAAAAAAGATGCCAACATTCAGAATCATTAACAATAGAGTAACTCCACAACTAATCAACAGAAAACAGAACAGAAAAACTTAGAATATCAACAAAACACGGAAGATCCACATGGACATTGAAACTATGGACTTTAAAATACCAGAACCTTTATCCCCATTAAATCCAAGTAAGGACAACAGCTCAGAAACCTTATGTGAAGATGAATTCGGACAGTATATTATCATCAATGAACAGATAACTTCTATTGGATCCATTTATGGTATATTTAATGAAATTAAGTAGGACTTAACAATATATATATATATATTTCATTTTAGACTTAATTACAACATATTGGCAAAATTCCAAAAAAATCTTGGCATACTTCTAGAACTCAACCATAAATAGTATGGTCACGTGACTTTTTACTTTACACATTTTATATACATCAGGGCCTAATTTTTAAAATATTTTTGTATTATCCTGATGAAGGTCATTTTATGACCGAAACCGGTAGATAAATATAATAACGTAAACCAACTCTGGTGTTCTTGACGTGTTGTTCTTCATCCCTTCCTTGATTACTTGGAATTATATTTAGTTCACCTTAATCGAAAGTCAATGCTTACAGTACATACAGAATATATAAATACATTGGGAAACCAATATCGAAATAAGCCAGCCCGCATAGCTCATTCAGTAAAAGCGCGAGACTTGTAATTTCGACAACGTTGGATCAATTTCCGGGTTGGCCAACTAAAATTTTAATCAGTCTTTCGGATGAGACTTTAAATCGAGGTCTCATGTATGAGTGCTTAAACACGTGGCACGTTTAAGAACCAGGAGAAGCTTTTGGAATAGGGGCATCTTTCTGTATCTGTATCACTATCCTCCAAATTATAAAATGACTAATACTCTTCGTTTGCGAGTATAAATAATCTCAAATACACACATCCAACATAGAAAAATAACAAAAGAAGGAAGACTGCAATAGCATTTAGAAATACGTTAAATACAGGTTTTGCAGTTTCTTTGTAGGATAATTACCATTGGACATTTATGTCTAATAACTGTTCTGCTCAGTAGTAGACCTGGAAGCTACGGCAATGCCAAAATTTGGATAGACACCGCACAATTTCAGGTAATTTTTATTGATTCCTTCGTGTAATACCGGTTTGCAGCATAGGGACCCGGCGCACTGTTGGGATAGTGTAAAAAAAGTAATTCTAGAAAAAAAAAGTTTATATGTAATATATAGACATGGTGTTGAACTCGCCAAATCGGCAGAATGCCACTTGTCCAGTATAAGTCAAAATTGCAATGTCATTTTTACGTAAATCATATTAAGTTATTTATCAATTTGCAGCTAAATGACATCACTTGACATTGACAATAACATTATTGTTCCCACTTAAACCGTTTTAGAACAACAAACAAATATTTCGGATGGAACATCGTATTTTTGCAAGGTCGACAACAACGTGCAACCTGTCAACACTCGATTTTCTACGTGTAAAAACGCAATTCTAAACCAACCCGCAATAAATCGATAAAACAAAACCAAAGAAACAACGTACCGCCTTAAATCGATTTTTAAAATGTTTTATTACATCTGTGAACAACTAATTTCTGATTTTGAAAATGAAAGTTGTTATCGGCATCCATTGGCTATCACGTGACCGATTTGAAACGGATTATTTCATTGATTGATTAAAATACAAAGCTGAGCTGGGTCACTGTATCGTCCAATTATTACAACCGGAGCCGAGTATGTCTCCTGGCTTTAAAAAATATTTAAACAGAAGAGTAAAAAACCCTGAATGTTTGCTGTTATTGATTGGTTTGAAAACAATTTCTAGCAGTAAGTTGTTTATTTGGTTTTGTTTTATCGATTTATTGCGGGTTGGTACAATGACATGGTTTAGAATTGCGTTTTTACACGTAGAAAATCGAGTACTGCCAGGTTGAGTTCAACCCCTTCTTTATATATTATATATAAACTATATTTTTTCTAGAATTACTTTTTTGCACTATCAAAACACTGTGCGGGTCCATTTGGTTTGCAGTAGCACGATCTCAAGTGTCATTATTCACACCTTTTGCATTTTTATAAAGTTTGGGAGGTCTAAACTTCGTCCGGAATTCAATATTTGTTAGGAGGAGGTTCTGAATTCAAAAGTATGAATGCATAGAACATAAAGGGGGACCTAGACACTTAATCGGATTTCAGTGTTTTCGAATTTAAGAAGTTTAACAATTCAAAAGATAGCCTTGATGTGTTGGATGTCTGAAACCCAACAATTTTACTCTTATGGATTTTGTATACAGACGTTGATTAATAGGACAAAAAGTTCTCACCCAATTCAAGGGATGTATAGATTGAGTATATGACATAAAGGGAATATTAAATGTTTCGTATTCTTATATTTATTATAAAAGAAGTCAGATATACAATTGTATACAAGTGCATTTTTACCACTTTTGAGTCATTTAAGACTTTGGACTTCCCTTTTTCCAATGCGCGCTATAATGCCATATTCTGAACATTCTGAAAATGAATGTTAAGTATGTGATAATTCTGAAGGTAATATTGTAACAACTTCTATAGAATCACTCAGATAGCAAAATACACGGTTCTCATCAAAGAACTGCTAGAAAATACTAAATTTGTAACAAAAGGATGTAGCAGGGAACAATTTTATCACCGCACCCTTACCAAAAAATAGTTTCTAAATTAGTTTTCATTCTAAAAATATTCCATTTCCTTTCAATCATCTCATTGAAACTGACGGTTTTCCGTGCACTATTTTTCAGCCAACCAATGGCCATGTTACAATGCGAAAGTATGAACACATGCTTTAAGCCAAATCGTAGAAACGAATGTTTAAACTTTTTTGTCTCAATATCATTTCTATATCTAATAGTACTTTTTGTGTTAGTGTGGTCGGATGAATTTAGATAAATGTTTTCAAATGTACATCTTGTGTCATCTATCTTATTGGTGTGTCCTGAATGATCAACATTCTAGGGAAATAAATCTATCAAGTATGATAGGCGGATTCGAACGATTTTGCATTTAATGCATGGCAGGGCACATGAGGTCTCCCTTCATCACTTCGTACAACTATAGCTGTAAAGTTGCAATATGACCTCTGCTGTGTTGGTGCGACCTGGACCCCATCCTATAATAATAATAATAATAATAATTAAAAAAAAAAATAACAAACAAACAAACCAAACATAATATCCCCACCCCGCTAAAAAAGTAGAACAAAATATAGCCTAATGCACATGCAGACCAATACAGGATTGACTTTGCAAAACCCAATGTACAGCCAATGGTTAAAAACAAAGGATTAAGTTTTAATATGGTATTAAGGTATCATAAGGGCAACAATCAGACATTTTAAACTAGAGGACCATGATAGCCCTGAGTCGCTCACCAGAAAAAAAAACTGCTTTTCAGTGTTGGAAATAACTTTTCAAATGAACTTGTTAAAAGGCAAGTTCAGCTCTTTCGCCAAGTTTTTGCCCCTCTAGTAATATACTTTTACAACACTGATTGTTTTTTTTCCTTCATAATAAACAATAGGGCCACTAAGATGGCCTTAGATTACTAATCTAACCCATCATTTCATTACTCACTTTATAAATTGAAATATTTTGCCCTTATATTTTGGAAAGGCTTTGTTAAACTATCTATGTTGCACATGTGCACCTATGAGTCTATGTAGAATAAATGCACAATAAATGTCCACTTGAGCAGGGTTTAATTTGATGGGACAATGTTTATAACCTTTGTGAATGAATACACACAAAATGTAACATGCAAATTATGAAAGGTGTAGATGTTTGAATTTACAGTTTGGGACAACAAATTTTTTATACATTCTATATTGTAACATAGCTGTACCTAAAAAGAGACAATAGGTCAAACAATGTAAAATACATATCAAAAGTAGGCCAGAAAAAGCAAGAAATGTAAAAAACATATCAAAAATAGCCCAGAAAAAGCAAGAAAGTACGTCACATGATATCAAAAATAACATAAGTAGGTCAGCTGCTATCAAAATTAAATTCAGCATTAAAAATTACAATCCTGGTTCTAATTCCAAATCTATACGTCACATAACAAGAAAGC